CTCTCATTAACTCCAAGAGTGTCAAGGCTATGGATCGAGTACCTTCAGAGGCAAAGTTGGGTGGATGAGTAGTTGTTCGGTGTCCCTTCATTCCTTCCCCCTTTTCATTTTCTTGTAAATATTTTCAACTCTCCCCCTTCATTTTAATTTTTCTTTTAACATTGACTAGTCGCAAGACTAGTACAAGAGACCTCCAACATCGGATGGTGTTAGGACTCTTGTGCGAGTCCTGGCAAGTTAGGTCCCGATAGTGGATGGCAACAGGCCGATCGGTAGGTGCATTAGTGTACTCTAGATAATGTCGATTCCTAAATATGGAAACGAGTAGGTGCTTATGTATCTCACTAGTCCCCCGCTTTGTTTTTAAAAAGAGAAGTATTTACACTAGGCGGTCATGTATTTTTCTTATCCTGGTTAGGTTAGACATAGATCGAGTCATAAAAATAGATAGCTCCCTATTCTATTTTTCTCTAGTGATTTGTAAATCCTTAGACAATACGGGAAAGTATTCATCCTGATTGTTGCTAAATATGATCTTTTCTTAATAAAGCATGGGAAAAGGCATGGGATGAGCCAGTTTTTAAAAAAAAAAAAAAACCCCCCAGCTGATAGAATGTCTAATTACATGTGTTCTATACCTGAGATAATTTATCAGTAAACCTTGATAGAAGAAAAAATTCATAAATCATTCTAAAATACTTAAAATCTATAGCATAAAATAGAAAATTACAATAGTTTTATAACTAGATTACTTTTAAAAATTGTTTTAAGAAAAATTAAGAGAGTATCATATGCCCTTTATTGGGCTAGGAAGTGTATAATATCATCAAAATTACAAAATAACGAAATAGGGTATTATATTTGGGATGATACTTTATTTCGCAAAATACGGTACCGTGTTTCCAACAGTATCTGACCTGACTATAGATTACAAACAATTTTTAAATGATTCTAAAATTATACTGTATGCTATACTAATTTAAATTACCTTTTTCAAAAAAAAAAATTCTTTGTTCATTTAAATCAAATAATCATAATTATTATGGTTTTTCCTCAAGTATTAATTAGAAGTAAAATAAAAAATTTATGTCACTTTTTTTCGTAATTATTTATTGTACAATTTGACTTCGGAACAGAGCAAACGAAATATTCACAATGAGACACGTAACGATAATGTTTATCGAAAGAATAGTCAAAGCTCTAAAGTCTAAAAAAAAAAAAAAAAGACAGCAGAAATCAATAAATTAATCTATGTAATATCTGATCACATACTTAAAGTCCTTTCGTCATTCCCAATTCCTCGCTCGTATCACTTTGACTAGTTTTATTGGTCTCTCTACTTTCCCTATTTCTTGAACGTTCGTATTCCCCGTTGATCAAGCCAAAATTACTTGTGCTCACACTGGCAACACTTAAACTACTACCGGTGTACAATCCATCTATTTCACCCATTAAATCGAACCCCCCATCGTGATGCACTTGTACACTTGACACCTTTGTTATTATAATATTATTTAATCCCTTGATACCACGTTTGCCTGCTAATGAACTGTCGGAAGTCACATTTTCACTCGTGTCACTAGAAAATGACTTTGATTTCGTGTGGGATTTAGGGGGCGCAGCGAGGGCAGCAAGTGCTTTTAGAGAACGGACACTATCGAATAGATTTACACCGGATTTTTGTTCTTTATCGTCACCGCTGGAATCCTCGGAATACCTTTTTTCGGGAAAGCCATGGTTGTTGTCTTCAGTGGATGAGAATCCAGATTTCATGCGTCTGCGACGATAATAGACTATTAAACCAATGACTATCATCAAAAATATGGGAACGATAATTCCTATGGCGATTTTCACGGAAGTTTTGGAGGTGGAGGCGAGTGAATCTGCTGTGAGGAGTAGAGCGAAAGAAATTTTATAAAACGTCCTCGTTATCACGTGAAAATACAACCAGTTACCTGGGGTATCCGAGGGATTCGTTCCGATCTTGGTGTTTGAAGGTGAATATGAATTGGTGGGTGATGCACTAGGTGTTGTTGATAGACTCGTAGGCTCCGGTTGCCCATTACTTTCACTCGGTGGCAGACTTGAACTACTCGTCGACGGCAAACTTGAGCTACTACTCGATGACGTTGAATTATCGCCATAATATCCAGGTTTACCAGGTGTTCCGGGAATTCCACCGGTCCCTGGAGTTCCTGGAGTGCCAGGTTGATCTGGACCCGTAGGACCTGTAGGCCCCGTGGGTCCGGTGGGTCCCGTTGGACCTATGGGGCCTACTGGAGGTGACGGCAAGACCTGTGACGAGGTGTCTGCATCACGAGCGAAAAAACTTTTTTTTACAAATAAAGGTGGAAGTAATGAGGGAAGAAGGCTGGAAGGGTATGATGCCGCAAAGGTGGAGACTATTGTACGTAAACGAAATTGAAATACGCATATAATTAATGAGATTTTCTGCACCAGAAAGTATTTTCTTTCTCTAACTTTTTCCACTATAAATTCAGGCTGAAATGTATCTTTCGACATTTTCCCTTATACCACACATCCATTCAATATTTACCGTTTATATTATTACATTTACATTCAGCCACCAATAATTCTTCGTCGCATTTATTTATTATTGGCTCTGAATTCCGGTAATTACATATTTTCTCGCAAGTTGAACTTGATTT